CCATCCATCCACCCACCCACCCATCCACCCACCCATCCACCCACCCATCCACCCACCAATCCATCAACCCACCCATCTATCCATCTATCTATCCATCCACCCATCTTAGGGCAGGGTTTCATATTGCTAAGGCTGACATGGAACTTATAGCAATCTTCTGCCTCAGCCCCCTTCCAGTGGGCAGACTGCTCCTTCTGGCTCTTCCATTATGGAAAACACTTGTCTTATCCCTGGCTGCAGCCTCCATTTCCCTCTGAACTCCTTGATTGTCCACACAGACTAACAACAGTTCTGTCTCTCCTCCAAGGTCCACTACCCACAACATCCCCAGACCCCAAATCCTCAAGCCCTTGCCCAGAGCTCTGAGCACCCCTAATCTTGGAGGACAATCTCTTGTGAAACACAAAGAAGAGCACAGGGCCAGGTCCCTCCGCACAAACCACAGAGCCATGAACACACGTGGGTGCAGCTCTCAACATGGCTTAGACTTGCACATGCGTGTCACATGCAGACCTGTGAGCACCTCACTCTAATGTATGCACACACACTTTCTCGCCAGGAAAGGTGTCATCTTCCTATTCAGATTTCTCGGTGGTGACACTGTTACTGCCCACATGGAGGTCACCTGGCATGGGACCATCAGAGCCTGGCCAAGCTCAGTAATGTCTCAGAGGTGAGTGACACCTAGAGACAACAGGCTTCTCATGTGAAGTCAGCTTTTGATCCTCATGACCTGTCTGAAGGGAAGAGCGAAACCCGGTAAAGCCACTTCTGTGGATGGCCCTGCAGCCCTGGGGGGCAGAGCTGTCTATGTTCCAGCCCTCCGCACAAACCACACAGCTATGAACACACATGGGTGCGGCTCACGATACGGCATAGACTCACACATGTGTGTCACATGCAGATCTGTGTGCACCCCCAATCTCTGCACAATGCTTTGTTGCACAATCATGCACGCACGCGCGCACACACACACACACACACACTCCATGCACACAATCACCCTTTGAGCCGCGGTGTCACATGAAGTCTGCGATAGCCAGCTCCATGCAGACACACACCCTGGGTTCCCCCAGAGTTGTGGATGAGAGCGTGCAGCCGCAGACCACTGCAGACTCCATGAACACAGGTGCATGATGTGCAGAAGCAACACTAGCTGCCCCTAGGCCACAGAACAGCTGAGCGGTCAGTACCAGGGGTGTCCTGGACAGTCCTGGCAAGCAGGAGACAGCTGGAAATAAATCTAGAGACCCACAGAGGTCAGGACAGCAAGTCCATTGGGCTGGTCAGACAGACCTGGATAGGGGCTTTCAGAGGTGCCCTGGCAGGTGGATGTAGGGTTCCATTGACAAGACCTTCTCTGCAGAGCCATCGCCACTGGGAAATGCACACAGAATCTTGGGGCAGCAGTGGCTAGACAGGTGGCAGGTGTGTTCATACCTGGTGTGTGCACGCACCCCTCCTAGTTGTACAGGCACTGCATCCTACCTGGATGGGTATTGTGAAACAAGTCCACCCCTTCCCCACTCCTGTTCACAGTGTCTTTTGTGTGTGACCCATATTCAAGCTCAGGGTCCCAGCAGTCCCCATGTTTTATGTCACCCCCATCCTGCTGCACCTCAGGACCCTAGACTATACCCCGATACTGGGTCCCCTTGGATGCTAACCTGAATCTTCCCTGTACCACCCACCCACGAACACCCAACAAATCTTGAGATTCCACGGCAGTCCCCCCATGTGCTGTGCCAATGACATGTATAAAGCGGGGTACAGTGGCCATCTGTCCTCAAGCCCCACTGTGGGGCCAGCAGAGTCACCCACAGAAAGGAGCCCTCCAAACACACACACACAAAATCTTAGGGGTTGGCTCTGCTACCCGCCTAGCTGCCTGTCCTCTGAGGCATCCTTTCCTGATATACAGCAACAGGAGGTGGCAAGCCTGAGCTGGACCCTGGTGGTGGCAGAGGATACCTCCTTCCTTCGAGAGCCAGGGTTCCAGCCTACAGCTCTGTGTTCATGTTCCCATTGCAAGTAAGGCCATTAGGGGCAGCCACGACCCCTTTCCTTCTTCTCCATACCCCCTCCCTCCATCCTCTGTGTTTTTTCCAGACAAAGGACAGACTACGCTGGGGACAGAGACTCCACAAGCTAAAACCAGAAAACTTAGGCCAAGGAAGTGCGTCTCCCCCTGCTCCCTGCATGGCCACTGAGTGTTAATCAAACCCACATGTGACCAGCATAGCTGGCTGGCGTGGGGGTGGGGGGCCCACTGAGTGGTGGTCCCGCCAGGTTGCTGAGACAACCTGCCCTCAGCCCAAAGGAGCTGACCCCACAGCTCTGCCTTGATGGCAGGGGACAGAGAGATCCCACCCCCGTGGAGAAACAGCGGTGGCCCGTGTACCACAGCCTGCCAAAGACCAGATTGTATGCAACTTTCTGTTGATGGATCAGGGCAGCTCAGCATTGACTAAGTTCCTCACTGGCCAGCTTCGGACACATGGGCAATCTCCATCTATACTGCACCCAAGCCTTGGAAACCTCAAAGCCTATTTCCCAAGACACCCTCCAGCATGCACCCACCTCTGAGAGCCTTCAATGACCCGGAAGGTTCTATGCTTCCCAGAATGTGGTCAGTGGTCATAAACTTTTCCCACTCAGCCTGTAACAGTGGCTTCTGCTGTGTCCCCTGACTGTATCCAGTGCCTGGCAGGGTCTGACCCACAAGGTGCCGCTGGACAGGGAGGGCCGGGTGCCTTGCTGGGTGTGGCAGGCTGGGCACTGGGCCACCAGGGTCTCCAGCCCCAGCTACAGTTCTCTGGCCATGACCTTGAGTCAGCCCCTCCTGGCTCCTGCACCTCAGTTTCCCCAGTAGCTAAAAAGGTGGAAAACGATTCGCCCAGGCTGCACCCCTCAAACTGACCTCCACCTCTCTGGTGCCTGGGATCCCCTCTGTTCCTCTAAAGTGTCTGGGGGATTGGAGCACCCCTTAGAGTGAACACAGGGGTGGAAAGGGGATAGTGTAACTTCCTCAAGTTCATCTGGAGAACCAAAGACAGGACTTCCCAAAAGAGCCATGTCCCGGGATTCCTTGGGTGTAAGGGAAGTCCCCAGGGATCTTTGCCAAACCTTCAGCCCTCCAGGGTGCTCCCTCCTCCAAGAGGCCAGGGGTTCAAGGGTGTCCCCCGCACAAGTCCAGTGAAGGAACTCTAGCGTCTGAGGGTGCGGAGGGCTTCCCCCAAAGTCCACGAGCCCTGGGGGGAATACTAGGCACCCCTGAAGTTCAGGAGGAGATCTGTGCGCTGCAATCCCCAGAGCTGGGGCCTCTTGAGGTCCCCGGGGGTTCCCCCCATCCAGCTCACCTGGGGTTGCTGCGGTTCCAGTAGACTGCGTAGCGGTCAGCGTTGGCGCGGGTCGGGTCCTCATTGCGTGCACGCAGCGGCAGCAGCAGCAACAGCAGCGGCAGCAGCGGGCGCTGCGCGGGCGCCATGGCCCCGGTGCTGCCGCCGCGCTCGCTCCCTCGCTCTCCAGCCACCGCCTGGCCCCGCCGTCTCCGCCTCCGCCTCCGCCGCCGCCGCCGAGCGGGCGGAGCACCGCGCGCTTGGAGATCCGCCGCCCCGCCTCTGCGCGCGGCCCCGCTGTAGACCGCAGGCGCCGAGAAACCAGGCGGAGGCGGCAGCGGCGGCGGCGGCGGCGGCGGCGCGGGACAGAGGCCCGAGCGATGCACTGCGCAAGGCGCTCTCCCGGGTTCCCCGGGCGCGGGGGCTCCCCTCGCCTTTGTCCCCGCTGAAGCGTCTTGGAGGGTCGCGGGCGCCCCCTCCCGCCGCGCCCCGGACCCTCCAAGCCTCAGCCCGAGCCCCGCCCCGGCCAGATTCGCGCAGACTCTGCCGCGGATCCCCAGGGTCCCGCCCTAGCCTCCCGCATTGGGAAGGGGACCCCCAGAGCGCTGCGCGTGGGCGTGTGTGTGTGTGTGCGTGCGTGCGTGTATGTGTGTGTGTGTGCGCTCGCCCTGTGCGGATTGTAACGATGTGCTTGTTTGCGCCGTGCCTGGCATCTCAGTATTTAGGAGGCTGAGGCAGGAGGATTGACTCGAGTTCCAGGCCATCCTAGGCTACAGTGTAAGTTCTGGTCTGAAAAAACAAAGAAGTCAGGCGAGCTGTGGTGGCGCACACCTGCTCTCCCAGCACTCGGAGGTTGAGGCAGAAGGATCAGACATTCAAGGTCATCCTCAGCTACATAGAGAGTTCGAGGCCAACCTGGGCTACATGAAACTGCATCAGAAAAGAACTAATGTTCCAAGTCACCCTTTCGTAGCTTTCCATCTTCCTCTGAGACCTCTGGGAGTCAGTTCAGGAACTCTGGGAACCACCCCCAACCCTCGCAGGTGAAAGAATGCTCCAGGGGGAGAGCACACCCAGATCAGAGCTGCGTGAACCAGAGGGGTTTGCTGTTTTGTTTTTCATTTGCTGCGTCTTGTGCTTGGTGTTGGGGACCCCAGAGAAGCTGGACACTTTAGTGTCCTTCTGTGCATGGACTGGGAGAAATATTCTTATTACCTGGGACCCCAGGCCAGAATGGTACTGTAGAGCTCAGACTTGTGGTCTTCTGTGACAAGTTCTCAACATGCGACACACATATGTGTGTGTTCACGTGAGCTCACATGTGTGCTCTCAAGCACACACGGGGTGGGCACAGGTATGAGATCTTTACCCAGACCTGGAAGTGCATCGCCCCCCTGTCCCATGCCTCTTTCAGGACTGGCTTTACTCAGGGACTTGAACTTGTCCAACAAGGGTGTTCTGGGATTTTCAGGACAGGCCCAGGGCCACATGTCTAAGCATTCTGCCCATAAAGGTGAATATTGGGCAGCTGCTGTCTGGGACATGAGCACCCACTTCGGAATGGGGAGGGCGACCAAGATGTTAGTCCCATCTACTGGACTTGATCTGTTAGGTTCTCAGTCACCAGGGCCAGTCACAAGGACACCTAGCTAGGAGGCCGCATCCCCAGGCCTCATTTGCATGCTGGGGCCACCGAGTTGAGAGCTGCCTGCCGCCAGTGGATTTGAGCAGAAAGCTTTGCCTTCTGTTCTTGTCTGTTGTCTCAAGGTCAGATCCAGAGCGAGGACAGGAACAAAAGCAGCTGTCCCCCACTCTACCTCCCGAGCCCGACTGTCGCTCCTGAGGACACACAGATGAGGGGAGAGCAGGGCCTCAGAAGGCCTTTTGTTCAGGAGCCCTGCCTAGCCACCATAGTAACAGAGCCTGGGAAGCCCTGTGCCCTCTCCAGGCATCCTGCCCCAGCCCACAGGGTCAGTGGTCACTGGAAATCAGACCCTGCCTTGGAGATAGTAGGAGGTTGGGGGCCTACCATGGAGATGAGCATCGATGAAGGTCAGGAGTTACCAGGTTAAGGGTGGCTTCAGAGACATCAGGTGAGATATGCTCTGGGATACCTGGGTCCTTCATCCATAGTTTACCCTATGATCCGAACCACACTGTGAGGGTCTTTAGTGGCCCTGGGCCAACCTTGTCTCCAGTCTGCACTCATCAACCCTGGTTACCCATGCCCCACCACCTGCCACTCTGGTACCCACGGCAAGGCCTCAGGCTCCTGATCTCAGTGTCTGGTGGCTCTACACCCATTAAAAGGCCACACTGCCAGACAAGAGACTAAAAATATGCAGAGAGGAATTTCCCATTACAAAATAAATTGTACCAAATTGCCTGCCTGAGCTGAGGAGGCTGGCAGTTGGGGGTTGGGAGTGGGTTATGGATCCTACAAGTGCCCTCCCTCTGGCTTTCCACCTGAAGAGTAAGGACAGGGAGGATACTTGCCCAACCCAAGCAATAGGCACCCACTGGGGCCCAAAGAAATAATGATCTTTGAGTTACTGGCAAGCAGAACCCCAGAGGGGTTCTTCCCTCCCTCTCTTCTTCCCTTTTTTTTTTTTGTTTTGTTTTTCAAGACAGGGTTTCTCTGTGTAGCCCTGGCTGTCCTGGAACTCACTCTGTAGACCAGGCTGGCCTCGAACTCAGAAATCCTCCTGCCTCTGCTTCCCAAGTGCTGGGACTAAAGGCGTGCGCCACCACCGCCCGGCCCCTCTCTTCTCAATGTAAGCACCCTCCCTCCTCCTTGTCTCTCTTCCCTTTTCTATACCTCCCCCCCACTTGTCTCCCCTCCCATCTCATCATCTTCTCCTGCCTGTCACCTTCCTCTCTCCTCACGCCCCAAGTACAGGACAGGCCTCGACCCTAAACCCACCTTCCCACAACTAAAACTGTCTGGGTCCCTGCAACTCCAGTGACTGCCCAGGCCCCTGTTGGCAGAAGCTTGCCTGAGCCTGCCTTTCCCTCATGGAGCTCCACGTGGGCTTACAGCTGCCAACTCCTGACTTCCAAGGAAGATGTGATTGTCCTGTGACATGTACCTGTCCCCATGTCCCCAATGGAGCTGCTGACGGCTAGCTATGGTGGGGCCCACATCTGAGTGGTGCTTTGGGAGACGGTTTTTTATTTTTAGTGTATGTGCTATGGCACTCAGAAGGCAGTTTATGGGACTGAGCTCTCTCCTTCAACCATGTGGGTCCAGGGATGAAATTCAGGCTTGGCAGCAAGTGGCTTTACCTGCTAAGCCTTCGAGTCAGCGCAGGGCTCAGATTTAGGATGAGTACAGGGGGCAACAAAATTTGAGTTCAAGCCCCTGGCCCTGCTGTACGTGTGCTGGTGCTGTGAGCCACGCAGGGTGCACATGCTCACTCATTTGGGCACTCCCAGGCTGGCCAGGGCGCAGCCTTCCATCCTGTCTGACAGACCTCTCCTGGCTTCCAGCTGTGCAGAGCACCGGCTAATAGTGCATTAACCTTGATGGAACTGCCAATTACCCATGCTAATGCTGGGTGCAGTGACTGCTGACAGGAGGATGGTGGTGGGGCCACCCTCCCTGCAAGGAGAGGTAGGGATGGGGGCTGGGGTCTCTCCTGACCTCATTAGACTAATCATCCTGCCTTTTGAAGCTCCAGCAATGGCTGAGCTGTGGGTCGGTCGAGGGGCCCAGATCATCGAGTATGGGGGACTAGAACCAGGCCCACCCCCGCAGGCACTACACAAAGATGGGGAAAGATCAAAAGGCCACAGGGCCCCCAGATTTGTGACTCAGAGAGCTCTGGATTCCCCTGGGTACAAGCTGGAAATGCAGATCGCAGAAGCTTCCTGCAGGGAGCACCCTAGGCTGAATAGAAGCCCAGCCACTAAAGGGGACAGATAGAGATATACAGGGGTGGGGTGTGGCCAGGGCTCTCCGTCTACCCAGCCTGACACCAACACTCCTTAGTAAGTAGGCTTAAGCAGCCTCCAGGACCCAGCTCAGACCAGGTGTAGTATCAGTGGATCCGGAAGTGGATGAAGACTGAGTACCTATAGGGCAGCAGCTGGACCAGGAATGCGGACCATGAGGGTTCTGAAATAGAGGGCTGGAGACCTAGTCCCAGAGTAACTGGGGGTTGGGGGGGGGGGGGTCCTGGGAGGCAGACTAGGTGGTGCGTGGCTGCCATCTGGTGGCAATTAGTTGTTATGACCAGGCAGAGTGGACTCAACACTGAGGAAAACTGAGGCTATGACCTCAGACTGCAAGGGACTTAGGCATCCCTGTCCCTCTTCCCTAAATCTAAGAACCAGAGAGGGAGGTGACTGAGCTGCAGCCCACAGGCTCCTAGGAAACTGTGAAATAAGTGCTTCTGCACTGAGCCAGGGTGTCACAGCTAAAGCCTTACAACAAGGTTGAAAAATGAATAGTCTCAGTAGAGACAATGACATGAGCAGGAGAGTCTCGTCCCAGGGATGACACCCTCACTCACTTCACCAGGAAACCCGAGTGAGGCATCAGGGGAGGGCTCAGGTAAGCTACAAAGCTGCTGCTTCATTTATTGCCCCCAAAGCAGCAGAAAGGTACACACAGAGACCCCAAGGTCCATCTCCTCCGTCCCAGCTTGTCACAGGGTGCTCTTGTCCCTGACGGGCCTGGCCTCGGGGGCCTCAGCTCTGTGGGCTAGACTCAACTAGGTCTCTGTGCAGTTCTGGCCCATGCAGCCTCCTAGGGCCTGTGCAGGCTCTGTCCAGGAAGCTTGACATCAGAGCTCACAGAACTACATGTCCTCTCTTGTCCTTGCAGCCTGTCACCTCCATCTCAACATCTGCAAGGAGAGGAACAGGACAAGGGATGGAGGGGCGCAGCTGGAGGGGCCTCCTTCCAACCCGCCCCGCCCAGCACGCAGATGATGTCCCCTGCAGGTCCACCAGAGTAGGAAGAAGAGACCACAGAAGATGCTGAAGCTGGTGTCCACCTCCTTCAGGGCCCTTGGGAAGCCAGATCTAGTGTCCAGTGTGGTCCCGGCTCTACAGCAGCCACCACCAGGACAGGCCAGTCAGCCCTGCTCAGAACACTGAGGAAGCTGCTTCCGCCCTCACTGCAGTTCTGCTCTGCCCTCTGTGGTGCCACATTCCCTGTGTGGTCCTCAGCTGGGACACTCTGTGTCAGTGTCTGTTTCCATTAGAGCTACCAAAACCCCTACTGACACACCTTCTTGGCAACCTCCCAGCCCCCCACTGGGGGATTCCACCTCTGAGATAGGCCTTGAACCCTTTTAGAGACATGGTCCCTTGCTAGTTTGTCTCATTGATGAAATCCTTCCTACCATCTCAGATTCCTGGTTTCAAAGACAGTCTCTTCCTCGCTGTCCTGAGAGGCCATCTCTTCATGCTCCTCTGTGTTGGTCAGGAGCCCATACCTCCTTCGCTGTGGCTTCTTGAGTCTGCAGGGCACAAACACCCTCAAAGGCTACTTCAGCACTGGTGACATCAAGGGATCCATGCCATGCTTCCCCACCCCCCACCCCCGCCCTCAGAGCACCTGCAGGATGTGAAGGCCCGGAGGTAGGGGTGTGGGTGCTATTGGGTCGGCTTGTTGACCACAGCTTCCTACTACAGCACAAGGCACTATCATAGCAGCTAAGAAAAAATGCAAGACGAACGGCTCTGCTGCCTTTTGGAGTCAATGTCTTGAAGCACAGGCTGACCCTTCACTTCCGATCATCCTGCCTCCAGTCTGCAAGTGCTGAGATGACAGGCGTGTGTTAGCACGCAGTGCTAGGGAAGGCACCCGGGGCTTTGTGCATGTTAGGTAAAACTTTTATCCACTGAGCCTCAGCCAAGGAAAGAACTTCTGCAGTTTTTGCCCTGTGGCATGGTTTTTTGCACCCGTCACCACAGCACCAGCTGAGGTAGAATGATGACCATACTGAAGTTGCTCCCCACACTAAAAATCGTAATTAAAGAGTCAGAAATAAGAACTAGCCTGAAGGGGGCTGGAAAGATGGCTTAGTGGTCAAGAGCACTGACTGCTCTTCCAGAGGTCCTGAGTTCAAATCCCAGCAACCACATGGTGGCTCACAACCATCTGTAATGGGATCTGATGCCCTCTTCTGGTGTGTCTGAAGAGAGGGACAGTGTACTCACATACATGAAATAAAAATAAATAAAAAAATTAAAAAAAAAAAAACTAGTCCGAAGCCTGAATCACGTGCCTTCCCGCCCATTTCCCCCCCCCCCCCGCAATGACTCACTAAATGCTGATTGGACGCACTAACGCACCTAAAAGCCCGGATGAGGAAGTAAAGCGAGATCAGGCCGCAGAGCCCTGTGATTACGTAGAAGGAGCGACGCACCGCGGAGCCGGTGTCCGGGAGCCCCCCGCTCGTGTGGTTAAGAGGCACGGCCGGCCAGCTGGAGTTTCCAGCCGAGCCCGGGCTGGCACACCGGAGCCGGAGCAGGAGCAGCAGCAGCAGCATGCGCCGCGCCATGCCGGAGCCGAGGCGGAAGTGCACACAGCCCCGCCCCGCCCCGCCCACAATGCCCTGCGCCTAGCCAGGGCTGTTCATCTTAGCGCCTGACTATGGAGATAGTGGGCAGTAAGACGCCTCCCCGCTGCGCCCTAGTTAACCCCATCCCCGCCACGTCTCGGACCCAAGGCACACAGTCGGGGGTTCTGGGTCACAGCCTTTTATTCAGGCAAACCCCCGGCCCCCCGCCACGTTCTGTCCCAGCGACCACGCCAGCCCAGCTTTGGTCTGTTCCTACAGGAAGCCTGCATCGCCCATGAGCCAGTGCCAGCTCAGGAAGTGCCTGGAAAGGAAGGGGAAGAAGAGATCGATCAGGGAAAGCCCAGTCCAGCGTCGGGCGGGGGATCCCCAGCCCTCTGAGCACCCAGGGTGTCCAAGGACCCCAGGCCCTGGTCTCGGGCACTCACCAGGCCAACTGTGTGCAGTCTATGGCTCCTGAGCCCGTGGAACCCTCTAGGACAGTGTCACGGCCACGGCCATCCTTCCATGGCTCAGGTTGGCTCCCCTTCATCCTGCCAAACAAAGGCGCGTGACCCTGTCGTCCCCATGGGCCCGCAGCGCCCTCCCTCCCCGCTCCCACCCTCACGGCGCCCACGTGGTTCGTCCCAAGGTGGCCATGCCCAGGGCATCAGCGCCCTTCTGCAGCCCGCCTGGAGCAGAGGCCGGCTCTGTCCCGCTCCACAGCCTCACGTACTCTGGGCAAAAACTACAGGCCGCAGCGCAGGTCTACAGCCTGTCAAGGAACAAAAACATGCCCACTCGGACTTCCAGGAAGCAAAGGTCAACCCCAAGCCTAAGTTTCCGTCCAAGTGAGCTATAAACCGGAGGGATGCGACACGAGCGCGAGCGAAAGTGTTACCTCGAGGCACAGGCCAGCTGCACAGAGCTAGCGGGGGAGCAGCGGGCGAGTCTCGGAGGGTCTGTGGCTCGCGTCTGTCCCCCGAGGGCTGCGGCTTCGGAGGCTAGCAGAGAATGCCTGGAACTGGCGGGGCGCAGCCGCTAGGCAGCCTCGCTGGCCCTGCCTGCACCGGCCCTGCACTGGCCGAGGCCTCTGCCGCCCCGCTGCCCCTCAGCACTGCCCGCCCCCGTCCCCGCTCGGCTGCTTGTTGCCTCCCGCACTGCCCTGCCTTCCTAGCTGCTCTGCTGGCCACGGAGCCGCAGCTCAGTGTCGGCAATGAAAGGGAAATGGTCAGAGCGAGATTCATTTCACACGGTCTTTTAATCGGCTTCGTGAAGCCAAAGAAACTGCGTACAAGAATTCCTCAGCCACTGTGAATACAACATCGACGGAGTCTGCGTGTCTTCGGTAAAAAAGGTCAATATAAATAAACATTTCCACAGCCTCCCGGACGGCTGTGCTCCCCACGGGCTTGAGACGTGTGCCCGATGGCTGGGGAGCTGGAGGGCCATGGCTTGCTCAAATCGAGTCCATTCATCTCAGGAGGGGTGGAGCGCCACACTTCATGGGCGACCACACAAAAAAAGAAAAAAAAAAAAAAAACCACAACCAAAAAACCAGAAAAAACAAAAACGAGTAACCAAAACCCACACAACCGGACGATTTTGAAAAAAACAAAAACCCATGGCTCATGGTAAACAGTAAAATCTGAAGTGCTTTCCAAAACGTTTTTAAGAATGCTTAAAAAAAGACAGCACGTCTTAAAAACAGGTCTAGTCACGAGGCCATCTCGGGTCAGAAGCAGGCTGCGGATGGGTCAGAACGGAAAGGACTACAAAAGTGGTAACAAGGTGCTCACTACACAACGATCAGCGAGGCTCCCCCATCTTAATTACAGCCATGGAAGGACGATCTGGACGCGGAGGGCTTTTACTCGTTGTGTGTAGCTGAGGACAGAAGCGGGACAGTGTAAAGTCATGGAGCGTGTGCTCCGCCCGCGCGCGTGGGAGGTGGCACAGGGTTTCATGCACCTGGCGCCCTGTCCTGTGCGGCAGGCCTGGTAGCTGCGCCCCAGGCTGAGCGGCTTAAGATGCTCTGAGGACACAGGGGTTCACGGAGCCCAACCGCAGCCACTGAGGCGGCATCCCTGGAGCCAGACTTACCGTAACTGTCATAGCTGTCTCTGTAGGACCCGCCCGAGCTCCGGTAACCATAGCTGCCACCCTGACTCCGGCTGTGGAAGGACACACAGGACTCAGCCCCATACCAGGTGTAGTTGGCAAGTGTGGGTGCTCCGCAGAGAACAAAACAAACCACCTGTGCTAGCCTGCCCTGCGCCTGGTGCACAATCCCTCCCTCTGCTCACAGCCCAGGACCAGCTGCCACCACAAGGCTGAGCCTTCCTGACCTCCCATCCTGCTCACCTGGCATAGTAGTCTCTGGAGCTTCCGTAACCCCCACTCCGGGACTCAAAGCGGCCACCTCCATATCCCCGGTCTCCTCCTGTAGATGACAACAGAGTGAGGGAGTCCCTACCCCTGCTGCTGGTCCACCACCAGCTGCCAAGGCATCCCAGCACTCACCTCTGGAGAACCCTCGGCCCCGGCTTCGTCCCCCACGGAAGAAGCCCCGGCCTCCAGAAGAGCCACCCCGGTATCCTCGGGATCGGTTGTCAGAAGACTTGCCAGCCTGGTCAACACGGATCTGCCGCCCGTCCACAGACTGCAGGGCAGAAGGAGGATCACTGTACCCAGGTCCACACCAGGCCTATGCAAGCTAAACTGGCTGACCTGGTCCTCACCTTCCCATTCATGGCCATCATAGCATCCTTAGCGTCATCGATATTTTCAAAGGTGACAAACCCGAAGCCTCGGGATCGCTGAGTCTCCCTGTCCTTTACGACCACCACTGCAGGAGAGAGGCATTAGCTGTGCCCAGTCTGTCTGCCCCCTGCCCCCCAAGCAGAAACTGAGAACACTGATCCCAACCTAAGCCTCACCTTCGGAGATCTGTCCATACTTGGAGAAGACCTGCTCCAGAGCTTGCTCGTTTGTGTCGAAGCTGAGTCCTCCCACGAAAAGCTTGCCTTCATCTGATGCCATGGCAGCCTGTACACACACTGTAGATGTTTGCTTTGCCTTAACCACCACCCCTTCCAGAACCTGAAGCCGGATAGCATATTCTTAGCCTTTTAAAGAGTAATGTAGCTGGGTGGTGGTGGCGCACGCCTTTAATCCTAGCACTTGGGAGGCAGAGGCAGGCGGATTTCTGAGTTCGAGGCCAGCCTGGTCTACAGAGTGAGTTCCAGGACAGCCAGGACTACACAGAGAAACCCTGTCTCAGAAAACCAAAAAACAAACAAACAAACAAAAACAAAAAACAAACAAACAAAAAAACAAGTAATGTATTTATGTGCATTGGTGTCTTGTCTCCATGTATGCCTATATGAGGGTGTCACATCTTGGGAGTTAGTAATAACCTGCCATGTTGGTGCTGGGAATGGAACCGGGGTCCTCTGGCAAGCAGTCTGTGCTCTCAACCACTGAGCCCACTCTTCAGCCACCTCCTCCCACCCCTATACTCTTTTCCTTTAAGAAAAGGCAAAAGACAGTGCCTCCCTTTATAGTCCAGGATGGCCTTGGAACTCCCTGCATAGGCATAAGTGCTAGGACGAGGCAGGACACTGAACGGAGTTGAAGCTGCCTCTTCCCTCCCTTACCTACCTAGTACTTTGATCCTTGGGAAACAGAGGGAGCAAGATCTCTGTGAGTTTGAGGCCAGCCTGGTCTTCAAACAAGAGTCCAGGATACCCAAGGCTACACAAAGAAACCCTGTCTCCGGGCTGAAAAAAAAAGTGGCTCATGGCCCTACTGGGAAACCTCAGCCTTAAGAGGGGTTTTACACCTTTCATCCAGCCATTCAAGTCACCAAGCGGGAAGATGAATGAGAAAAAGGACACTGTGGAGCAATTTGAGGACTGTTTCAAAACAAACACCCATCTCCCCTAGCCTGTGCAACGTGGAAGCAAAGGAACAGAATCCGAAACCAAATACAACTGCACAGTAAGTCCAATACCTGGGCTGATGCTATCTCAAAACCACAGGGAACTCTTCTGCTTTTATCATCCCAAACCCACATGGCAGACTTTGTCATATAGCTGATGCTAACCTTAAATGATGGTTCTAGGGCTTGATACCCTAGTCCTTTTCCTGTAGTGGCCCTTTATTACACCTGGCCAGAGAACCCCAAGGTTAGGATCACCCAGCCAGAATGGCCTAAGTTTCTTCACTTTGCAGTGTGTGTGGTTGGGGACAGAGATGATAGTGACTGCCTACCCTCACTAGCATAGTGTTATTGGGCCAGAGAGGCTTCATTACTGAAATCACTTTTAGGGTACTGTCAGGAGGTGCGACAAGTTGTGGGATACACAGCTCGCTCAACCAAGGAGTAGAGAAATACTTTTGCATGGTGGACACAAGGGAGAAAGGAGGTTGGCCCAGGAGGCGTGGCTATCGGAAGGGGCGTGGCAACTAACGAAAGTCATTATTGGCTAGGGACAACCCGGACCCAACCACTTAGAAATTAAGTCCACTATACTACTGAACCAGTATACGTGGGGGGCAACAAACTTGGGATGCAAAAGGGCAACATTCAAAACTACATGTGCTTTTTCTTTCCCCACGTGGAACCACAGGGGAAGAGAAAACCGGGGTAGAGGCAGCTGTAGTAATAGGGTCGCACGCGACACAGCTCTACATCTGCAGACAACCGGACTTTGAGGTAGGCGCGCCCCGCCCCCGGAGCAGCGCATGCGCCACGCGCGCACCCTGCGCCATTCCATCCGGGCATTCGGCAGTCCCGCCATTTCGCCGGCGAAGCTTTTCAAAGCATCGCGGCGGCCATTTTACCAAAAAAAAAAAAAAAAAAAAGCCCACCACTGAATTCGGCATCGGCCCGGGGGTGACGCGCGGTAGTGGACGCCCTCCGAGAAGCCTGAGGCCCCGGTGTCCCGCTGCCCGCCTCGCCGCCGACGGGGCGGACTCCAACCCGGGCCCGCCCCCAAGTCCCAGGGGCGTGCC